TGGTTCAACGTAATCACCATTTGGGAAGTTCAGACTCCTCCTTAGCTTTCCCAGTTTCTATGATCCGTTCTTAATCTCCATGAGAAAGACTATTGTTGGACGATGAGTATTAACTAACCCTCTCAAATTACAAACTATCCGGAGTTGTCCCACTTCCTGACAGTTCCATGCAAGAACTAACATGGAGACTGTGGCTGTTGAAGGCCAGCCAACACTGCCCTTTTCGAATCTATATCATATCTACCATTCTTAATGGGAATGCTTGGGACCGTTGAAATCCGCTGGGCAAAACAAAAATTAAGGTTATTCTCACCTTGTTAATCCTGAATCACTTATGGCACTTGAACTTCTTGCTCAGCTAAACAGGCAAAAAAGATTTCTGAATGGGTCAATTTTCTGTTCCTTCTCCCTTTACCTCCCCTAGGGCACCAATTTGCCTTTTTGTGACTGCTTTGTATGTCTTCTAACTGTCTGAGATTGCACTGAGAGGGACTCCTCCAAATTCTGGAATGCAACCTGAACTCTCTGTTCTAGCGTAAGGACCTCCCCTCCCTTCTGCTTCTTACTGGGGCCCAAGTCTCCACTGTTCTTTTTATTGCTAATGATTGAAATTTTTTTTGTAGTCTTTCCTCTACTATAACAACGTTAACTCCCAATCTAAGTAACTGAGTCCAAATGCCTTCTACCCCATTAGGTTGGGCCCCATTTTTCTGGGTCTCCAAAAGCCACTAGCTCTCCGATGGTTCTGTCACAAAGTAACAATTAGACCCTGGGCCTCTTTCATTCAACTGCTTCCCAAAGACAATGGGAACATTATTTGGCCCAAAAAATTTTGGGCTTTGGCAAGCTCCCACCTTCTCATATAAATTGGGCCCTAAACCTTTGAGGACCATAAGATCTGATTCTCTCACCTCAGATGGATTATTACTACATTCATGATCCGGGTTGTCATAGTCTTCTTGTGGTAGAGTAAGCTTAGCTTTTCCACGTGTCATCTCCTTATCTACTTTTACCACTCTACTGCATGAGCCGTACTCTAACTCCCTGCAAGAGTGTTCTCTTCCACTTTGTCCCTGCCACGCAACCCCCATTGTAGTCAGAACTTGCTCACGCTCCGGTATTCTTTCATTAACTCCAGTTACCATTTTTTTGTGATCTTTCCACCTCTATTTTTCCTTTGCACCTTGTTCAATTTGGACCAATTTTCTCTATAGAAACCAGCATTTTGATTAGTCTGTGCTCGCAACTTAGGACCAAACTCACCTTGGTTGCCCATCCTTCTCCTGCTGCAATGACTTTGAGTATAACCAATCCTCCAACAAACATAATAGGAATCAGAAAATTGCTTGTATTTAAAGCGTATCCATAAATCATCCTGATTTTCATCAGCGAGAAAGAAACCTTTCATCAAAGATTCATTGAGATCAATTTCACATCTGACTCTAAAAAAATTCCTATGAAGCATAAGTTCACCCCTGCCTCTTCCACCTTTGTTGGCTCCCCAATTATCTTGCTAATCTTCCAGGCATTACTTCTAGTCATCATATCAAGAGACAATCCCCCAATCTGAATCCAAAAATCAATTTTGTAGAAATCATAATCACTCAGTGAACACTGTGGGACACATTTCTTCAAAACGATCAATGCTCCCATAACCGACCATAGACCCTCCTCAAAGATTTTATCTCTATCCTCCTCATCCTTGGACATGAACATGAAGGTATTCTTTTCCCAAAAGGTTATAGGAAAACCTTTTATCATTTTCCATGAGGCCTGCAAGACACTAGAGACACCTTGCTTGTTGAGAGCAATGTCTGAAAAATTTTTCCCACCATACATACTTGTTGAACATCCTTTGAGCTAGCTAGGTTAGACAAGAGAGAAATACAAGGGTGGATATGGACATGAGATTCCACCTGTGCACCAATCGACATCTAAATGGGTAAAATTTAACAAGAAGATGAAAAGGAAGCAGAAAGGATCAATAGAGATAGCTAAGACTCAAAGAACTAGAAAAGGGAAAAAGAGAGAGAAAAGGACAAGACAAAAAGAAAGAAAACAAGGCAGAAAGAAGCGACAAACAGCAAGGGAAACTTTTAGAATTTGAGATACACAAAAAGTGAGGTAATGAAAGAGGACAGTGAGACTTAGAAGCTTGTGAATGAGGAAATCAATGAAAGGAAAAATTAAGATCTGGATAGCTCCATATTACACTTACTCAAGAGGCCGAATCATTGCAAACAACACCACAAAGAAAATCCAATCCCGCAATACGAATACGACTAACCAGACCATCTGGTTTTCATTAGGGAAATGACACCTTTAAAAGCCCTAACCCACTATAAAGATGTGATTATAAAAATAACGAGGAACATAAGACCGAGAACTCAAACCTAATGGCCAGAAAAACTGAGATAGAAACTCAGGAGAACCCTAGAGAGAACCTAGGAGCGTTGCCTAAAAAAACCTTTAAAATTTGAGTGGGAGTCTCTCTTGATGTTGCCTATTTGCAATACACAAAAATATTAAAAAACCAAAACAACCTCAGTCTCAACAATTCCACTTTCAGAATGTAGTAATTTTGCAACAAAATCAAATAAAAATCTAGTCAGCATAGTAACTGATACAATTCAACCTAATGTTAGAATAGAAATAGTGTGTGTGTGAGAGAGAGAGAGAGAGAAGTGTATGGACTGAATCACAAGGGTCTCTCTCACTTTTTATATTACCTATCTATGAAGCATCATACCATGAGGAAGAAGATAAGGTGCATAAAGACTTTCAAATTATTATATATCAGGAATGAAATTTGTTAAACTTGAGGAAGATGATGAGACTTAGAGTTATGATAGCTACCAAAAACTTTAATGACCTATTTGATATGACGAATGCCACAAGTCTTTGGTATTTCAATTTCAATAGTGATATTGGTATTTTTAAAATTTTGGAGGATAAAAATGTTCAAATAATTTTTTTTTTATATATCTTGACATTTGAGAGTAGTATAAATATATTGCACAAGTGCACATATATACATGCAACGGATGTTTTCCTACTTGTTATCATTTGAAAAATTATAGAACTAAAGATTACAAAATCCTAATACCTAATAAACTTATTGATTTATTTATTAGGATTCCAAAAGAAATTTTTTCTTTTGGATTCTAATCTTGCCTCTTTGTTTTCCATATGATTAAGTGGTAAGGCTACTTATAATTTTTTTTTCCTTTTTTCTTTTTATTGGTTTTGGCTTCTAACAAATTTCTTTTCAAAATACTCAATCATACAAAGGATTATTATGCTTGGTTTTTTTTTTCTCCTGAAAAACTAATTGGGAGGTATAAATGAGTCTCAAGCTATCGATTACTTTTTTTAGATATACACAATTAAATTATTTCACGTGTGCATCAAAATATTAGATTTTTAGTATAGATAACCCGAGATAGGCTCAAGTGGAGATGCAGACATAGGAAACTTATACCTTGCTTAAATGTTTTGTTCTAAATAAATGAATTTAGAAAGTAAATTTCTACAAAACTTACCTCTCTTGCTTAATTGTTTTGTTCAAATAAATGAAATGAAAAAAAAAATAAAATTTTGCATATGCGACTTTATGTTGCTGTCTCGTTATGTCAATTGGGAAAAAGTCTACGATATCATGCTAGAGAAAGTGAAATGGTGATTCAATTGTTGTCAAATTATGACTGTGTCAATCTTAGAAATATGAAAGATTGATACTAAGTAATCATATTATAATAAAAAAATTTGATTGGTCAATAACTTTGGATTCTTATGGAAAAATGTATCCTTTGCCCATAAATGGAAAACAATTGCACATTATTCTTCTCAAAGATATGGGCCATCCAAAACCCAAAACAATACATAATAATACTGTGGTACTTGGTACCACATGATGTAACATGCTACTGGGCCAGCTGCCATGCTCCCAATCTCAATTTTATTTTTAATAATCTTCTTTTTTGTATTTTTCATGTTAATTTTTATTTTTTTTTAAAGCTTAATCGTAAAGTTATATTTATATAAATTATATTATTTGTACATTAAAATAGATCTGAATTATTTTTATACAATCGTAATTAAATATGTTTTTAATGTTTCATATTTTTATTTAAAAAAATTAGTCAAAAAAATACTACGCACACCTCAACCCGGCAATTCCCGGTGACACCAACCAAACCCTCTTGAGAAACTGGACAGATCAACCACCGGTTCATTCGGTCAACGGTTTCCAGCTCATCACAACTCAGATCCACCACACATAAAAAAAAAAAAACCAAGAAAAAAAAATCATATATGGGTTGTATATATGTAACACACAGCGCCAAATACATTTTGACCCCCCAAAATTTTTATATTCTGCAGTTACACCTTAAAAGATTGAGATTTTTATATTATACCCTCAACCACAGAAAAGATGGAAATATGTTTCATTTTAAAAAAAAATTGAGTGCAAAATTTGTATTGAGAACATTTGGAATTGAATATTAATATTACACTAATAGTTATGTATAAAAATAAGATAATATGACAAATACAATAAAGATATTTATAAAAAAGGGAGATAAATTTTTAACTTTTGATTATATTGCTAATTTTTTAGTAAGTTGAGGGTATAATGTCAAATTTTTAATTTTTGAAGAACAGATTAAGAATTAAAGGAGCTTTGAGGGTATAAAATGTCATTCATCAAATATATATAGGCAATAAGAGCGAGAGACAGTGTCATTGATTCCACAGTGCCGAGCTCTTTCGCTCTCTAGGGTTTGCTATTTATACGCACTTTCTCTTTCTAAGAAATGAGCGTGAGAAGGATTATGTTGGTGAATTAGGCTGGAGGTTGTGAACCTTGGTGTGGAGGTTGTGAACCTTGGTGTTGGTAGGTCGATCGATCTATTGATCGGATCGCTTTTCGAGTAATTTTGAGGAGGTCAATCGATTGGATCGGAGGGTAGATTAAATCTGATACTAGTTCAAGAATCATGTTTTTGGTCGATTGGTTCTATGGAGTTCTGGCATCTCTGGGGCTGTGGCAGAAGGAGGCTAAGATTTTGTTCTTGGGCCTCGATAATGCCGGCAAAACCACGTTGCTTCATATGTTGAAAGACGAGGTTTGTTGAAAGACGACGTTTTTTCTGTTCTCTTTGGATCTTGAGAGATCTCAGGAAAATAGAAGAAAAATAGCTTTTGGTTTATTATATTAATGGGTTTAGTTTTGTATAGAGGATTCGTTCATTTGATGTATGATTTTTAGTGTTTTCATTTTCTCTGTTATTGTTGATGGAAGAAATTATCAGTCAAGATACAAAGCCATGCTTTTGGTGAAGTTAGTTGGTGATTTATTTTAATCTACTTGAGAAATTTATGATAAAATTGTTGATTTGAATTGTTTTCTACCATTTCTTGCCTAGATAAATTTACGTAAAAAAGCTGAAGTAGTTGAATTAGGGTCTGTTGAGTAGAGATTTTTGTCTTTATTATTATTATTTTTTGGGTCTGAGTATGTAGTGAATCTAAGATCGAAGCCCTTTGAATTTTGCAGAGATTGGTTCAACACCAGCCAACTCAGTACCCAACATCTGAGGAGTTGAGTATTGGAAAAATCAAGTTTAAGGCTTTTGATTTGGGAGGACATCAGATTGCCCGTAGAGTTTGGAAAGATTACTATGCCAAGGTAGTTTTTCTCCTTCATTTGAACTCGGTTTTGCTTGCAGTATTGTGATCGTAGTAAAGATCTTTATTAAATTTTTAGAACGAATGTGGGAATTGAATAGATTATTTGGTTGAAGAATAGAAGATTTAACGGATGGTGGCTTGGTTTGTTGGTGGATTCAAACTATTTTCTGTATTTTCTTGCTTTACAGTTTTCAGATATTGTTTTGTTTATGGTGGCGGCTTGTTTAAAATTTGTGCTTTAGAATGAAATTTTAGCATTGGTATTTTTGGTTGCTGCCATCTCACAATGGTGCCATTACATTTTTAGCCTCTATTCCTAGACTTTGCTATAACTCCATGTTTATAACTGATATTCTTATGAGTGTAAAACTTATTCAATGATTTTTCCCTGGATGGTAACTTCTTCAAATATGATATGATGTTTTGCAGGAATGTTTCGTTAACCTATAGACCTGACGTTATAGTTGATATGATGTGTACAGGAAAGTCTTGTCTAATTGCAAGAAGAATCTTTTTTACCTGAATATATTTTTGTTTATTTGTATCTTCAATTATAAATTTGTCAAGAAAAAGAAATCTGCCCAGCCTAGAGTAAGGTTGGTCCCCTCATTTTTTCAGCTGTGCTCGCCCAACGATTTCTCAAGTCTCAACTGTTCCGTTTACTTGTCAACTGATTAATATTGGAGTATGCACCTCTTTAAATGTGTAGGATGTTTGTCTTGCCTTCATAATCCCAAATAAGCATTTCAGAGTTTGTTTGATTCATGGGAGGCATACATTGACATGGGAGTTCGCTGATGACACCTGTTGTTTTTCCAGGAGGTGTTTTACTAGTACCTCACCATATACATGCAGTTTAAATTAGTCTTACCTTGTTTGTATTAGTGAGAAATCTTTTCTTACCTAGGAATGGGCTCCTCCAGTTTTTGAAAGCACTTTAATGGCATCATTCCTGCTAATTATTTGGGGCAAATGTTTGTGATTTATATTTTGGCACAAAATATGTGGATGGCATACAATGACTCAACTGAAGTAAATGGAGGGCTTTTACATTTTCAGGTTGCAAGCACCAATTGAGATCCTCATACTACAAACTTTTGTAGGCAAGTCTAAACTAAGTATATTGAATTGCCTTAACACTGACACTAATTTATTTAAGGTCCAATTTTTGTAGTTCTTCTCTACAAAATATTGAAATGAGGACCATACAGCATAAAGACATACCAGACAAGACTAAATTAAATCTTTATGAAGTTATTAACAATGAACACTTTGCCTGCTTGCTAGAGTCTTTTTGATAAGAAGATGGCTTTAGACTTTAAAATGGGTGGGATGCCACTCGATATAGAATAGAAGGTGGAGAGCTCCATTTTCTCTTGAATTAACAATCTGAAATTAAAATGTGTTAGTTTGGCCTCTTATGGACCATAACAATTCACAACCTTTGTCTTCTATTGTAACACAATATCTGGGCGTGCTTCAGAAAGTAAAGATGTCCAGGTTAAAGATTTTGATGGGACCATACAGCAAAATGAGATGCCTGACAAAACTATCTGAGATATTTGTGAAGTTGATTTACAATGGAAGACTTTGTTTTGAACTTGTGCACTAGACTGATTTAGAATTGGAAGTGGTCACATTGCCACTCAAGGTTTGTATAGAAGATGAATGACCTATTTGAACCATCACAATGTTTGTCTCCTGTAGTAACAATGTCTGCCTTTGTATTGGAAAGTAAAAAATTGTCTTTGTTTTTTCCCTTATTTACATGAAATGAATTTGCATTTTAAAATTGTGATATCTAATCTTTCCTTTTTTGTTTCCTTTTGGACATATAATACTTTGTTCTAATTCTTCATGCTTTGCCCTAGCTATTTTTCTTATTAGATTACTTTTTTGGCAGTAATGACGTTGAGATAATGGAAAAGTTTTGACCGATTGATATTACACTTGCATTTCATTGTGTTGGGTAATTGATTGACGTACTCAGTTCTTATGATTGTTCTCGTGGATGGAATTTTGATGTTTGCTTGTTTTTGAGGCATTTGCTATTCACCCGCGGTTTCCTGAGGGTTAAAAGGGGAGCAAAACTAATGGCAGATAAGTTTCAGTGATTTGGTAATGATAACAGCCATGGAATCGTGGATGTCGGTTTCCGTTGTCGTACCTTCCTTGGCAACAACTTGGGATTTGTGTTTTGCTATTGCTGGTCTTATCATCCGATGAGACATAGGACAAATAATTATATTGTTGGAACACGTGCTACCGTTTTTCATTGAAGTTATACTAGCCTTTAAATTGAGGGTGTATCTATAACATCACATGCAATTCTTGAATATGAAGGTGGATGCAGTTGTTTACCTGGTGGATGCTTACGACAAGGAAAGGTTTGCAGAGTCAAAAAAAGAGCTGGATGCTCTCCTCTCTGATGAGTCCTTAGCAAATGTTCCTTTTCTGATTTTGGGCAACAAGATTGACATCCCTTATGCTGCTTCGGAAGATGAGTTGCGCTACCACATGGGCCTGACTGGCATCACCACCGGCAAGGGGAAGGTAAATCTGGCAGACTCAAGTGTCCGTCCACTTGAGGTGTTCATGTGCAGCATTGTCCGCAAAATGGGTTATGGAGACGGCTTCAAGTGGGTCTCTCAATACATCAAGTAGTGACGGCGTGCAATAGGAAGGAAGATTTGGTTGCCTGTTTTAAATGTTATTTGCCTAATGGACTTGAGTTGGACGTTTTGTTTTTCTGAAAACACTGCTGGATATAATTCCGTGTTAGCCTTTTTGGTGAAATGACACATTTCATCTTATATTCATAATGTACTGCCTTAAGTAACTACCAAAACTTTTTTGTTGCCATTTTTAGTATATCATAGGTACTTGAATTTCTAGTTTGAAGAAAAATTTTGGAGTGCCCTTCCTGTCTATGCAAGTCTCGCTTTTATTGTTATTATCTCTAGGTGAAAATATTATATAGCTAATTTAGCATCTTGAGGCCTCAAGAGGTTTTTTTTGTGACGATCTCCATGTGGTAATAAGAATGCCATGGAGTGTTGGCTTGAGATAAGGGGATTTGTCTTTCTGGATGGGAGAATCTAGGAATTATGGGTGTCAATTTTCAATGGCATAAAAATATGACTGAATTTGAGACAAAATTAGTAAGTTAGGGTTGTTTATTTCTAGGCATGAATTTAAAAATGATAAGATTAGCTGGCTTGACTAATAAATAGGTTGGGTTAGTGGGAAATATAATAAATAATTCAAAAACTAAGATGATTAATATTTAATTAGTATTCTATAAATGAAATGTCATTTTGTGATGTACATGAATTATTAGTTTATGGAAAAGTTATGAGTAATAGGATTGGTTGAGAGATGACCTCTTAATTTTAAAATTTTAATTCACTAGTGATTATTGTCAATTCAAACATAATACCATAATAAAATGATTGAATTAATGTCAAGATATTTAACACGATTAATTGAATGAATCAAGTCACAATTGATTAGTAATAGACAAAAAATTCAAACTACTCTAACTTAAATATGACTAAACACGACACAATTACCACTTCTACTAACAATAAGTTATTCAAATCCGTACCAGGATATATGCCGAAGTTGTTTTCTATTTTGGTACAAAAGGCAAAAGGGGCAGGATCTGGATCTTGATCTTGATCTTGATCTTGCTGAATGCGGCCATTGGGCTAAGGAGGAAAACGTGGTGACGTAGGTAATTTAGCTGCGCCTATCAATCAATGAAAATTTTGATTGCATTTCACAGCTTCGTTAAAAAGCAGCTCAGCCGTTTTCGACTGAATCTTTCCCTGTATCTTCTTGCTCTTTCTTTTGATAAGATTTACGATTACAAACTGATGGATATAATGTAGACTACGGGACACAGAATTCAGATCTCGAAAGTCCCTCCTCGGTTTCTTTAAGAATATTCAAAAATGTCAAACATCAGTAACCAAATCTCTTGTATAGGAATAGTTTTACACACACAAAAGAGGATAACGAAATTACAAACAAAAAAAAACCCAGAAGAGGGAACTCACTAGTAGGGAGTCGAGGCCGGCTCAACACCATTAAAACAAAAAGCATGGTTTTTAGGCCCCCAATATTTTAAAAGGCCCGTTACTAATCCATAAAAAAAATTAAATCTTTCAAATTTTAAACCCTAAAAAAAAGGTTCCAAAATATTAAGTATAATCAATATTTTTATTGTAATAATTTTAGTCCATGATTCAATTCATAATATTAAAAATCTAAAAATCATGAGTTGAAAAATAAAAAGTACTCTAAAGTCAACTCATATTTACACATACTTTCTCTCTCTCTAAAAATTAGTACAAAACATTAAAAAAAAGTTAAAATTAAACTCTCTTTCTGATAAAAAATCAAAAACAAAAGTTAAAATACTTTTTTCAGTAATACTAGTACGTCCTTCTTCAGTCTCTCTCTCATATAATAAATTGAAAATAAATTAATTTTTTTACAAAATTAATATTAAAAAAAAAAAATCTCATTTAATATTTTAACTTTAAGCCTCCAATTGCCTTAAGCCACCCCCTGAAGGGACTGAGATGCTCCATGTTCTAGGCACTACAGCACGATCTCGAGACTGTACCTTCTAAGCTGAACTCTCAATCTCTAGATAATAAGTACCAAGACCTTTGAATTTGGGAGACCAAACACAAACTTAGCTATCGCTGGATGGGTACTCAGATAAAAATATCTCTTCTAGGTACATTCTTTTACTTTATAGTAGTAAACAAACTCCTTTAAAGGAATTGAGTGACGTCCCCCACTACTCAATCTCCATAAGGCCATCAGACCAGTAAAAGTCTTCTAGGCATTAGGAACCAACTAATAAGAGGGTAGACCCAACCAGGACAATATAGACTTAATGAAAAAAAGGAATTGGGAATTGAAGACCGCCTTAAAGGGCTGACTCAAGAAAACAAACCTCATTGTGTGAAGGGTACAAGCCTTTTCATGGATAATGAGTAACCTCACTTTTCACGAAATCAGGTCAATTATACTGACGTCTCACAGATCCTATAGTGTACTCAGTTGATCAACACTCAATTTCATGGGCCTCCCAAAGGGAATACCTATCAAATGATGGGGGGGGGGGGAAAGACCATTTAGAGCCTTCTTCCCCTTGACCCGTAGATTCAGTTCGCTTTGAATCTGCGTCTGAATCAAACAAACCCACCACTATGTCCTCGCTACCTCTATCAATCATAACATTGACAACAGAAGGAACGACAGAGCCTCAGTGCTTCTAAATCGCTTCTACAATCTCCTTAGGAGAACTTTCTAAAAGCAAACACCTAAATTCGAGAGTTTCAAGGGAAAGCTTATTAGAGGGCTCTGGGGGAGTTGTATGAGCTAACAGCATTCTCTAGCTCGTTGTCACTATATAACAGAATATCTCTTCTAGGTACATTCTTTTACTTTATAGTAGTAAACAAACTCCTCTAAAGGAATTGAGTGATGTCTCCCACTACTCAATCTCCATAAGGCCATCAGACCAGTAAGGGTCTTCTAGGCATTAGGAACCAACTGATAAGAGGGCAGACCCAACTAGAACAACATAGACCTAATGAAAAAAAGGAATTGGGAATTGAAGACCGCCTTAAAGGGCTGACTCAAGAAAACAAACCTCACTGTGTGAAGGGTACAAGCCTTTTCATGGATAATGGGTAACCTCACTTTTACGAAATCAAGTCAATTATACCGACGTCTCACAGATCCTATAGTGTGCTCAGTATATCAACACTCAATTTCATGGGCCTCCTAAAGGGAATACCTATCAAAAGATGGGGGGGGGGGGGGGGAAGACCATTTAGAGCCTTCTTCCCCTTGACCCGTATATTCAGTTCCCTTTGAATCTGTGTCTGAATCAAACGAACCCACCACTATGTCCTCGCTACCTCTATCAATCATAACATTGACAACAGAAGGAACGATAGAGCCTCAGTGCTTCTAAATCGCTTCTACAAGCTCCTTAGGAGAACTTTCTAAAAGCAAACACCTAAATTCGAGAGTTTCAAAGGAAAGCTTATTAGAGGGCTCTGGGGGAGTTGTATGAGCTAACAACATTCTCTAGCTCGTTGTCACTATATAACAGAATATCTCTTCTAGGTACATTCTTTTACTTTATAGTAGTAAACAAACTCCTCTAAAGGAATTGAGTGATGTCTCCCACTACTCAATCTCCATAAGGCCATCAGACCAGTAAGGGTCTTCTAGGCATTAGGAACCAACTGATAAGAGGGCAGACCCAACTAGGACAACATAGACCTAATGAAAAAAAGGAATTGGGAATTGAAGACCGCCTTAAAGGGCTGACTCAAGAAAACAAACCTCACTGTGTGAAGGGTACAAGCCTTTTCATGGATAATGGGTAACCTCACTTTTCACGAAATCAGGTCAATTATACTGACGTCTCACAGATCCTATAGTGTACTTAGTTGATCAACACTCAATTTCATGGGCCTCCCAAAGGGAATACCTATCAAATGATGGGGGGGGGGGAAGACCATTTAGAGCCTTCTTCCCCTTGACCCGTAGATTCAGTTCGCTTTGAATCTGCGTCTGAATCAAACAAACCCACCACTATGTCCTCGCTACCTCTATCAATCATAACATTGACAACAGAAGGAACGACAGAGCCTCAGTGCTTCTAAATCGCTTCTACAATCTCCTTAGGAGAACTTTCTAAAAGCAAACACCTAAATTCGAGAGTTTCAAGGGAAAGCTTATTAGAGGGCTCTCGGGGAGTTGTATGAGCTAACAACATTTTCTAGCTCGTTGTCACTATATAACAGAATATCTCTTCTAGGTACATTCTTTTACTTTATAGTAGTAAACAAACTCCTCTAAAGGAATTGAGTGATGTCTCCCACTACTCAATCTCCATAAGGCCATCAGACCAGTAAGGGTCTTCTAGGCATTAGGAACCAACTAATAAGAGGGCAGACCCAACTAGAACAACATAGACCTAATGAAAAAAAGGAATTGGGAATTGAAGACCGCCTTAAAGGGCTGACTCAAGAAAACAAACTTTACTATGTGAAGGGTACAAGCCTTTTCATGGATAATGGGTAACCTCACTTTTACGAAATCAGGTCAATTATACCGACGTCTCACAGATCCTATAGTGTGCTCAGTATATCAACACTCAATTTCATGGGCCTCCGAAAGGGAATACCTATCAAAAGAAGGGGGGGGGGGAAGACCATTTAGAGCCTTCTTCCCCTTGACCCGTATATTCAGTTCGCTTTGAATCTGTGTCTGAATCAAACGAACCCACCACTATGTCCTCGCTACCTCTATCAATCATAACATTGACAACAGAAGGAACGATAGAGCCTCAGTGCTTATAAATCGCTTCTACAATCTCCTTAGGAGAACTTTCTAAAAGCAAACACCTAAATTCGAGAGTTTTAAGGGAAAACTTACTAGAGTGCTCTAGGGGAGTTGTATGAGCTAACAACATTCTCTAGCTCGTTATCACTATATAACAGAATAGGCTCGACATGCATAAAGAAGAAAATAAAACGGAATAAAAATTCAGAAAGCTAATCATTATAATTGTCAAAGACGAGATTCGAGGGAACCAAACTAAAAAAAAATCCCAATTAATCCAA